TGAAAAACTTAGTGGAAAATTTAGAACATAGATAAAGAAATTTTCTAGAAAATAAAATAGAAAAACAGAGGTGAAAAATAGGAGAAGAAAAAAATCAGAAATTTAGAGGACCAGTCCAAGAGGTCCACCCTGAACAGCAGAAGAGAGGACAGAGAAATATGGAGGGAAGGAAATTATCAGTAAAGTAATTTTTTTAATTTTCCAGGTGGAAAGGACTAAGTGCTCAGTGTAATGGATAAAACTAGAATCCTACTAAAGCACATCATTGTGAAATGTCACACATGTGACAAAGAGAAGATTTTACAGTCTTCTAGAGGGGAGGAGGGGATATATCATACACAAAGGATTGAAATCAAAATGACCCAGGCTTCTCAAGAGTAAGCCTAGAAGCCAGAAGACCAAGGAAGCAATGCCTTCAAAATTTTGAAGGAAAATTATTTCCAAACTAGAATTTTGTATCAGGACAAATCATCAACTCATGTGAGAGTAGAAAAAATGATATTTTGGACACAAAAGTTCTCATAAAAATTTTCTTCCCAATCATTTTTCTCAGGAAGCTACTGGAGGATATGCTCCATCAAAACAAAGGAATAAGCTAAAAAGAAGGATGTGAAAAATGGAAGGAGCAACATGGTGTTACCGGCTCTTAGTTAATCTCAGCCCTCATATTGGTTCTCCTACAGTGAACGCAGCATATATGGGGTTAAAACCAAAAGCACACATTCCCAGCCCCCTAATTCTTTAGTTACACTCATATGTAAATATTTGTTTCTTCAACCTCTGACTCCCTGAGCCTCACAACCAAATAGAAGTTGCAAATTGTTGAAGTCCAGCTGGCCTGGCACTGAGATCACACTAAAATTTTAGCTAATCACACATCCTTGAAGTTCTTTCACAGGGAAACTAACGTCCAGAGAATATCAAGAAACTGAGGCTCCCCAGAGGAACCCACCATCTGCCACCGAGACAACCAAGGACATCCATCTGTAAATTCTTTATCTGGCCCTGCAAATAGCCTCAAGGCTAAATGTAGGCTGGTGGGAAAACACTGGCCAGCAAGGCTACAGGCACCACCCCTCCTACCCCAAACCCCAAATAAAAATCCCTACCCATTTCTTAATGGGGAGCTGGCAATTTTTGAGGCACCAGCCCTTGCTTTGTTCTCTTTGCCTGGCAAAGAAAATAAAGACTTTCCTTTTCTCTCAAGACTGTTCTTGTTATCTGGATTGGCACTGAGTTCAGAGACTGAACTTTTGGTAACAATAGGACAGCTGCAAAGGACTGATGGTGAGGAGGATCCCAGGATGCTCTCAGAGGCTTCTGACTTGCCTCAGGTGGGAGCAGATCCGAAGGCTTCAGGAAAGACTCTCTGGGCGGAGGCTTAGGGCTGAGTGAATGGTAAGTACAGAGAAAACTAAGGCAGCGAACAAACAATGGGACGTTACTAACTGTGGAAAAAAAACTTATTCAAGAAAATAAAGTAATCTGAGCTTACCACACAGCTCGGCTCTGAACTGTGTTTGCATAGTGTCTGCTCTGGGACAGACCATGTTGTGTGACATAGCTCACAATCCCCAGGAAGAAATCCCTAGAATTCTGGTGAAAAACTCATACTTTAAAAAGAGAAAAAGCACAAACCTTTGATATGATTAAGACTTATGTTGGGAAACCAGTTCCATACACAGCCAGTTGACGGCCAGCCCAGAGTTTAGTGGTCTTTAAGCAAATGTTCTTTCCTTTTTGTATTGTTGAGGACTTAAAAATCTTCATAAGACATCAAAAAGAAAAAAAGCAGTTTTATCATTGAATAAGCATAAACCAGAGTATCGTGGTACGGTTGATCATCTGCAAAGAGATTTCAAAGACGGAAAGAAATTCTCCCCTATTCATACAGCCAGGAGGTTACAACACTTTTATACTGGTCCTTTTTTTGGCATTACAGATATGTGTTTGCAAGGTGAACAGTAACCTGTCCTCCTATGAGAAGGCTTAACAGCGCCATTTGCTGTTCATTCTTCCCTAGTTTATCCGAAATTCACCTCTATCAGAGGAATAATAAAAATGTTCTTATTTCTATGACAAGAAGATGCCTAGAGGCTAAGCTCCCACAGTGACAGGGGCCTGGGGGCACTATCTTCCTAGAGGTTTGTATTTCAAAGAGATGGCTCCCAGATCTCTGGAAAAAAAATTCTGGGTTGTAAAGCTGAGGAAAGGCTAACTCAGGGGGAGGTTTAAAAAGTGTGCATAGAGCCAGCCCTGACGGCCTAGTGGTTAAAGTTTGGTGGGCTCTGCTTGGGTGGCCCAGGTTCAGTTCCCAGTTCTGGAACCACACCACCTGTCTGTTAGTAGCCATGCTGTGGTGGCAGCTCATATAGAAGAACCAGAAGGACTTACAACCAGAATATATACAGCTATGTACTGGGGCTATGAGGAGAGAAAAAAAGAGAGAGAGAGAGAGGAAGATCAACAACAGATGTTAGCTCAGGGCAAAACTTTCCCAGAGAAAAAAAGTGTGCATATACGTATGTTTTTCATCTGGTGGAACCATCCTGCTCAGTGCAAATTTCAAAATGTTTAGTATTTTGCCCCACCACAAAATACGTGTAGTCTCCAGCCCCACCTCCGACCCCTCCACCCCAAGCATTGTGGCAATAACAAAAGAAATAGAGTGAGGAGGAAGGAGGGAGAGAAGAAAAATGCCCTCACATATTTTCAAATACCTCCTGGAAGGGATAATGACAAGCTAGGTGATCAACTGTTGGATTTGCCTGGGACTTTTCCCCTTTAACTTTCCTGTTTTTAGCACAGAAAGTCCCACTTCCCAGAAAACTCATCAGCTCCAGGCAATCCAGGACAGTCGGTCACCCTAATACCCCACAACACACACACACACGTGCACAGCGCACACACACATACAAACGTTAATAATCATCTAACTATGTGCACGTGCCACTTAGGGAAAAATAAAAACTTAAGATGAAAATTTAGGCTTTAGGGAGCCGGCCGCATGACCAAATGGTTAAGTTGGCGCGCTCCACTTTGGTGGCCCAGGGTTTTGCCAGTTTGGATCCTGGGTGCAGACCTAGCACTGATCATTAGGCCATGCTGAAGCAGCGTCCCACATAGCAGAGCCAGAAGGACCTACAACTAGAATATCCAACTGTGTAGTGGGGGGCTTTGGGGAGAGGAAGACTGGCAACAGTTGTTAGCTCAGGACCACTCTTTAAAAAAAAGTTAGACTTTAAGATGGAAGAAATCTGGGTTTGGGTTCAGGATTCTGCTTCTGTCCCTTCCAGTTCTGTGACTAAGGCAAGTGTCTTCAGCTCTGGTTGACAGTTCTTTCGTCTGTTCAATGGAATAAAAATGGTGTATGGTGTCAGGGCTAGTGTGAGAATTCAGTACCTAATAAATGACTTCATCTCTTGTGTGAACTCAGGCCTCAGTTCTTCATCAAAACTCCCAGCCCAATTTTTATTTACCTGTTCTTTAGAGAAATTAGCTCATTGTGTCCCATGTGTTACTATATCTTTACCCCAACTAGAAAAGGAGACTTTGTGAGCAAGGACAAGGCCATTATAGTTCCTAAGACAGTCGCTGGCAGGTAGAAGATATTCAATAAGGATATGTTAATAGCTGTATAACTAATATCCGTATATATTTACCACCTTCTAAGTCAGTTGCGCCTTCTGCCGAGCTCTCATTGTGATGACCTGGTGCCCTTGAATGACTTTCCTTGCTGGATGTCTTCTCAGAATGAGAGACACCACCAGCACGTACACAAGTTAGCACCCTTACTGGGCGTACATGTCCACAGTGGCAGAGGCATGAGGCTGCCCTAATGCTGTGATTTCAGGAGGACTTTATCAACCCAAGTGTTTCCCCCAGGGCTCATAACCAGTGCCTCGCCATCTGTTTTCCTTGGGCCAGTGAAAAGTAAATCTCCAAAGAGGGTGTATTCTGAGGTCTTCTCAGTCATTTTCTCCTTGATGAGGATCTTAACGGGAATCAGCCTTCAGAGTAGGTCTTGGAAGGCAGAGGGTGGGCAGACTAAGAAGGAAGTGGCCCTGGAGGTGGTCAAGGGCACCAGTGGTCTTGAGCAGGTTCCCCAAGCCCCTGACACAGAAGATGAACTCCTCACACTGTCACTGTGCAGGCCTGTCTCTGCGCCTTGTGCGCGTGTGGTTGGCTGCTGTCCCCAACTAGATGTGACAGCTTAACAGTTCCTGAGAGCAGAGACTCTGATATAGTGCTGAGCACATAGCAGTTGCTTAAAAAATAAATTCTGCTTAATATGATGACAACTGTTCTCAAATGACACTCCGTAAAGTGTTAATAGAATGGAACATTAATTACTTTTCTAGAATAAAATCCCTAGAATTCAGTAATTTATCCGTATGTGTGTGGTCCATGTCCTTGAGGACAGCTCCAACTGGTGAACCACTCTCCCTTGGCTGACTATTAGTCTTAAGTGCCCCAAACAAGGGAATCGTTTAGCTGAGTTGGGGAGGTTGGGCATAGGAGAAGTTTCTGCGGTCCAGGAAAAAATGGACGAGGTAAACTTAGATGACAGAGAGGCTGTCCCAGGGTTAAGATAATGCCGCAAAGTTAACAAGTGACCCTCCGGAAACTATTCCACCCAGCAGATGGGGCTGGCCACCGTCTTACCCTTTTTCTCATCAAAAGTTTTGCCAGATAAAACACTGTATGCCCAGTTAAATGAGAATTTCACATAAACAAGGAATGATTTTTTAGTGTAAACGTGTTCCAAATATTGCACGGGATTTATACTAAAAAAAAAATTCATTATTTATCTGGAATTCCAATTCAGCTGGGCTTCCTATATTTTTATTGCTAAATCTGGTAATGCTAGTCAATGAGGTATAAGACTCGTGTTACAGAAATCCACATGACAGCTAACCTCTGTGGAAATACCTTCCAAGAGACACAGCCCTTAATTTACACACACACACACATATACACACACACCAGACCACAAAATGTAGATAATAATTCTTCCTTTAATGTGATTTGTGTTATTTTGACAACCTTCAGGACAAACTCAGATTCACAGTGACAAGCCCCATTGGCTGGTGTTGTCTGTGTGACAGTTGAGGCCTCCTGTGTGATAACGATCTTGGGTTTGGTCTGAAGCGTTAGAAGCCATGTCTCTTGAAGTATTTGGCTCTTGCAAGGACATCATTGCAGAAGTCACAGCTCAGGTCCTGGTGGCTTCTAACGTAGCTCGCACCACCAATGTAGGCACAGAGTCCACCTGGAATTCACGAGACAGGTTAATGCTGACCCCACAGCCCCTTGTTGCCTCAGGGGCTCAGAGGTTAACTTAGATTCTCTTTCCTAATTCCATATCAGGAGGCACTGAGGTTTGGGGGAACCTGGTGCAATATATTACACTTGCGCCTATTAACTCCACGCTGTGAAGCTGCTGACCCACACGTTACGCATACCTCTCAGGTACTGGTCAGGGGTCCAGGTTGGAAACCTCCTCTGGATTTCTTTGATTCTAACAATGAGGATGTGAGTCATCCGTGAAAGCTGGGACTCGCTGATCTGGGATGTGGGAGCATAGGGACCAGGGTCCTGGAGGGAAAGAAGCAGAGGAAAAGCCAAGTAAGCCAGGTCGGAGGGTGACAGCTTCATTGGATCAGTGATGCTTTTTTTGGCTTTCCTTTTTTTTTTTTATTTTTTTTGGTGAGGAAGATTGTCCCTGAGCTAACATCTGTGCTAATCTTCCTCTATTTTGTATGTGGGATGCCACTACAGAATGGCTTGATGAGCAGTCTGTAGGTCCGTGCCCAGGATCTGAACCCGGGAACGCAGCGGGGTAGAACTAGAGGGCGCGAGCTTAACCACTCCACCACTGGGCCAGCCCCAGTGCAGTTTTTTATTTCCCTTCTTTTTCTCTCCTCCTTTGGTGGAACCAATGCTGCCTTCAATTTCCCTGGGGATAAATAGTAAAGCTACAAGTTCTGGGCAAAGGAAGGGACGAACAGACATTTCACTTCTGCTTCAGTGTAATGGGGAGAGGCAGAGTTGGAAGCAAGAGGGGACAGAGGTAGGGTAGGTACCACTCTGGCGCCCTCCTCCAGTGCTGCGAACACAAACCCTCCAAACAGGTCAGAAAGAGATTTTTCTATTTGTACTTATAATTCTCCTTCTGGATAACCTGAATGTCTTAAGGTTCTAACTTTTCTTATATACCTTTGGTTACCATTCCATGTAGGGTTCATCAAATTTAGGAGAAATATCTGACTTTAGGAAGTTCTTTCTTCAGCTTCAAAGGAGATGGACTCATTCTTTTCCCAAGAATGAGATTTTACAAAGGAGGCAGAACAGAGCAGTGGAAATGATGCCGGCCCTAACATCACCAGTGTTGTCCTTGGTCTCAGTTCTGCATTTTCCAGCTACCATGTGACTTTGCAGCAATGACTCTCTTTACAAAGCCACTTCTTCTCTTGTAAAGGATGGATTGCACGTCCTTCTCAACCCATCTCATCAGAATACCAGATGGGTCTCCAATTTGAAGTAAGACACGTACATTTGAAAGTATTTTAAATTGTAAAGTGTCCTATGAAGTACTAATGGGAAGCCAATTTCAAGATCATCGAGCAATACATTTTCCTAAAAGCTTAAAAAATGACTGCGATACTTCTAGGTTTCTCAACAACTACAACAACAATGTGAAATGCAATAGAAAAAAGCGTGGCCTCCTTGCTTTCTTGGCCATCACCGATTCCCCCAGCACAAGTCATTTTAGCAATGGAGTTAATTAACGCCCAGTTCCCTGGAAGTCTTCATCAGACAAGTGAAACGAGGCAGAATTAGCACAAAAATAAAACTTGATCTTTAGAACTAAGAATCGTGTAGAAAGAAGACAGGGAAAAGGAATTCAGTATTTGTTAGAATCTACCAGATAGCAAGTACTTTTTCACGTTATTTCGTTGAATCTTCGTAAGAATTCTATGAGGATGGCATTTTATAGGTGAGGAAACCGAGGCCTAGGGAGATTAAGTGATTTATGCAAGGTCCACGGTTACACAATAACAGGGCAAGGAGTCAATCTGTGAACTTTCTCCCGCCCTACTGCCTCACTGGAAATCCAGAATAGGGTATCATGGATGATATCCTGGAAACGCAGCATAATTTACTTTGAAAAGAAATTGTGGCCCCAACTGAAGCAGGAATGTTGCTGTTTATATTTCTCAGGGAGAGCCGAGGCTCTCAGGCCTCCAGGGAGCAACTTTCACTCTGTGTTCTACGGAACTATGCGCCAGGGGTGCCATCAACAACAACAACAAATGTGAAGGTGTTCCCTTGGCGGTGTGCCATGCACTGCAGTGGCCATATGTCATAACTGGTGGAGGATTACCTGCGCCCTGATTCCATCGCCTGCATTGTCCACGTTGACCACAATGTTGCCACCATGAGACTCCCTGGACAACACACCAGCAATCACTGCAGGGTCCACGCAGTACTTTCGGCCAACAGTACGCATTATGGGTTGATATCTCAATAGGTATGGCTTGTCTATTTCAGCCAGCCTTTCAGAAGCATGAACTCCTAAAGCAAACACAGAAGGAAAGATGCGACTTGGTGTGACTTATGCTGAAATGAGAGCTCAAGAAGAGAGAGAAAATACACTCCAAGGATCTGGATAGGAGTCTAGGACTGAGAAGCCCACGTCTGAAATCCCTAGGGGCCATTCCTAGATCTGAGATTATGATTATCCTTTAAGCTTGAGTCAGCATTCCTGGAGGGAGTGTCCTCTGTGGCTGTCCGTGCCCCTTGGCCAGGCTCTCAGGGGTTGCTCTGGCTGACTCAGGAACATTCTGTGGGCACAGGCACCACTGCCCCAAACTGAGCACCCCAGAGTTACCCAGTGAAATGAGACTGTCCATCAGCTACAACAGGCACAGGATATGAAATAGAAATTCTCCCAGCCCCTTCAAAAAGTCCTTGGAGAGCGACCCCTGGTGGCCTAGTGGTTAAAGTTGGCACCCTCTGCTTCGGCGCCCTGGGTTCATTTCCTAGTCACAGAACCACACCACTTATCTGTCAGTAGCCATGCTGCAGTGGAGGCTGACAGAGAAGAATTAGAAGTACTTACAACTGGAATGTACAGCTATGTACTGGGGCTTTGGGGAGGAAAAAAATAGGAGAAGATTGACAACAGATGTTAGCTGAGGGTGAATCTTTCCCAGCAAAAAAAAAAGCAAAGAAAAAAATCACAAGTGCGTAAAAAAGAAAAAAAGAGTCCTCAGAGACTTTTCTTGACAGCTTTGCTCACTCTTGCCCTCCTTTCTACCCTAAAGTGACAATCAGAAATCATGTCAGTTTAAACATTTATGAAATAACAAGAATCCTGGGCAAAATGAAAATCAATACTGCTTCACCTGGCTAGCTTACTTACCTTCTGAGCATTTTTATGGCTTCAGAAGCACCTTCATCCACACATTATATTGACCAGAGTTTACAACACTATTATCCTCCTTTCAAAGGAGGCCCTGGGGAAGCTAAGTGACTTGTGGAAGAGCCATGGCGAACACTGGGACTAGGTCTTTGGACTCCACGTCCAGTGCTCTTTCCACCACTTGGTAGTGCGGGGCTGTGGGAAACAGTGGGAGCCAAAAGGACGTATTGAGAGGGTCAAAACTTGTGGGGAAGGACAGGGAGACATGGGTGTGGGGAATCCAGGGAAGGGACAAAATCCTGTTGAAGCCACCCTTGCCAAAAGGAGTCACCTTCTCAGACAAAGAGGAAGAGGAGGAGGAGGGCAAGGTGGACAAGGAGCTTATGACTACCGCAGTAGCTCAGGCCTCGACGTCTTCCAATCCCACAAGATGCCCCAGGGGTGTCAAAGGTTTGGATGTCTCCGTAGCATCCCCAACTGCTACCGTCAGAGGAGTCTGCAAATTGAGAACATTTCAACCTAAGACATTGAACTAGGACAGTTCTGGTCATCTTTCTACCCATGAATGAAGTGACATTAATAAAAATAACTATAGGAAAATCAGTAACAACAAGAACTTTACTCTGCAATGGAAAACACTTTTGAAACTTAGAGTATAGTAACTAAGAAACTATCACAGAAATCTCGATACTAAATTCCCACGTGCTGTCCTGCAGACCTGAGGAACTGTTGGAGCAGTTATACTCCTTGAAAACCTCTGGGGCTGTCCAACACCGTTGCGTGGGTGTCTCGGAACCAAATCAGAGATTATCTGTTCCCTGTAAACTAGTCCTCATCTTATAGCTTGTGTGAACTCTCAGCGCTTCTCCCTCAAATACTCCTAGCTTGTTGGTCTGAGAGATATTTATATTTTGCCCTGAAGAAGCATTTATGAAGCCTGGGCCTCCCTGGGGTCTCAGCCCAGACCCACAGTAAAGGCACTGCTCATAAACTGGGACTTGGAGTCAGCCTCCCCTGCTCTCAGTGCGCTTGGAGGTGGGGGCCTAAGACAGCAAACAGGGAGGACCTGTAGTGAGGCCGGGGACCAGGTCTCCATGTAGGGGCTCCCTCTTTCCACTACGTCTCTCTTTGCCCTTCCATCTCTCTCTCTTTAACCCCCGCTGTCATTCCAGTCACTGAAGCAGAGGAGTGGTTTTATGCACTATTGGGATTCCACAAAAGCCCCCGAAGAGAAGGGCATCTCCTAGAATTTTCAATTCACACGAGAGGGAAGGCACATGAGCTGGGAGCCAGCAACAAGATATCTACAAAGGGCAGGAAACTGCCCCTCAGAGCATCATCTCACCTTTATAAGCTGTAAGAACTTCTTAATAGATTACTCTTTTTGATTTATTTTATTCTTTGACTGAAATAGATTATATGATCAGATCTTAATGATTTACAGATCTTCAGAAATATATCTATTGTTCATCATCATATGTGTACTGTATGTTTATGTAAACGCATTTTAAGGTTGTATTTTCTTACTAAGAGCTTCGTGGGGTTGATTTGAAAATACTAGTATTTTGAAGTAAATACTTCTACCTTAAAAATTTTGATGAGTAACCTAAGAGAAAAGAGGAAATGAAATGACTTGGTCTCTTATGAGTACACTAAAAATTAAACAAGCCAACCTGTCCTTTATTATTTTTTAATTAGTACACTTTTACCTTTATAATTGGGGACAAATACCTTTAATAGTATTTGGTTGTGTCACTCATTGCTCCCTGCCCTGTAGCCTCTCCCTAACCACATTATATGGTCCTCAACTTTCCTTATATTCCCTAAACTCCTTGTAGGAATTTTTAAAGATTTGTTGAATAAATGGGTCAATAAATAAATGAATGAATGTGAGACTGACCCCACCTGAGAAATGTTTAGAATTTAGAGCAGGGAAAAAAATTGTTTCTCTTGAGAAATTATCCTTCCTCCTTTTGTTTGTCAAAAAAACATGTACTTTCCCTTTTTGCCCCAGCTGCAAGGAACCTCAGGATGGAATCTGAAAATCAAGCATTGCAACTATGCCACCCTCAGTGGTTCGCTTGCTCACAGCTCCTTGATCCCATTCATGCTAGTCTTCTGTTGAATTACGTTAGTAGGCCACCTCAATCCTTCTGTGGAAATACATGGTCTATTAATAAATTCAATAAATACTTTTGGTGAAAGAGCTCTTATGGAGGAACAATGAGCAGTATCAATGGTATAAATTTATAGTCTGGTCTGAAGCAACACTGTTTCAAGCCCATCCCACATTCTGGAGAACTCCTTCCTCTTGTGGGACATCCGGGAAGAGGCTGCTACAGCTTAGAAAGAAAAAGTTTTGCACTACAGTTTTAGTATCAGAAATACCATCACATTCCTATGCTTATCCTTCCCATTTCCAAGGTCATTTGGGAAAAATGAAATGTACTCACCAGGAAGGGCAAGGAGGCCCAGAAGCAGCCACAGCACAGACATATTAATAATGTGGCTCTGTGGGTCCTAAAAAGATTTTAAAATAGAAATTAGCTCAAAGATGCAAAAATATCAATCATCATCATAACAATATGTAATGTTTCTATGGAAAGGTGTGAAAAAAAGAAAGGAACAAGTTTCTCCATGTCTAAACTAAAAAAATCAATAATTTGAATCATAATGAAAAAAGCAAAAGTAGGATATGTGCTCCATTCCCTCCTTTCAGTTGACTTAAAAATGATGGGACCCTTACTCCGCCCACAAGGACTCATCATACCGTCAAGTTACTGGATACTAATTATTTCAAGAAGCCAAGATGCTTTGATTCTCAACATAGAGAAACATAGTGACCTGACTCCAGATCCTGCAAAGCAAATTCGTGATGCATGTGCTTTATGCCAATAACCTCTTCATTATCAAAAGATAGCCTGAAAAGGAGAACTTTGTATTAGTGTCTCTTAATTTGGGTTCTTTTTCCTTCAGGATAGAGGAAAGGTAACACTTTCCTCCGTGCTTTGGAACATATTCTTGGCTTTGTTTGGAGGAAGGAGTTGGAGACATTTCCCACTGCTCTAAGGCCCCAGCCTGAGAATTTCAGACCCCCTCAGTCACCTTGAGCTGTGCTCCCCGTGCTCCCTCTTTAAAACTCCTGGGCAGGAACAACCCTGGGCCAGAGCCCGGGAAGATGGAGAGACAGGCTAAGTCCACCAGCAAAGTCAAATTCCCGTGAAGTCAGGTCATGGGCAGGGGTCCAGGATTGGACTCAAGTTGTTCACTGTACAGGAGAACTGACAACTAGTCGCCGTCAAGCACTTGCTTATATGAGAGCTTGCTCTCATACACTTTCTCTCTTTCTCATCCCAACCATTCCTCCAGTCATCTTCCTCCTATACAGAATCCTGGTTCCCCCACTACCTACCAAACGAATACACAAATGCTACCCAGAATAGCTTACAGTTGACCCCAGGGAATGCTGGAGGAGCCCGCCCCCAAAGCCTCTGCCTCCCACCAGCTCCTCCCACTGCAGGGTGTGCTCATCGTCTCCCTTGGTCAGCTGAGCCTGGCTACCTATCATTTCGAATTGTTACCATCATCACAAGTGGGAGCATGCATATAAATATGACACTCAGCACTTTCATAACGCTTTTCTCATCTCTTTTAAGATTATGCTTATGGACAGTTCCTTCCAAACACCCGGGAAGAGATTGTGTCTCAAGATGAAGAAGAGGTACGAAGGAAGTTATTTGAATTAAGTCTTCTTAAACCAAGGGGTTGTCTTCCCCTCAGACACAGTTGTGTGTTTTGCTTTTCTTCCCCACTACATTGAGGTGCTATACATGATTTCCCTTAGTTGAATGGCAAATGTCGTGCTCAGTCCCAATAGCAGAAAGACACAGGAACTTGGAATTTTAGCTGGGTCTACAGGAACTCTCAAATTCAGTCACCCAACAGGAAATATTTATTTAGTACCCACTGAGCCCTCACCACTGAATGAGAGAGGACACTCCACCCCAGGAAGACGAATGGAGAAGGAGCCACTTCGGTACAGGAAAAGCCCATAGTCTCATGAAAATGTATCTTACAGAGGCATCTCACTGGCTTTACGGCTTTACAGAAAAGGCCCTAAGGAAAAAGCACTGCTTTCATCCAGATGCTAAACCCAGGGTATTTTACTCCTTTTGCTGCTTCTCTTGGGAACAAAAATACTTCTTCTTGGAAACCAAATGGAAGGACTTAGCTTTCATTGCAACATTAAAGCTACCTCATTTTCCAAGCATGGAATTGAATATCTGTGTTGAGCAAGCACTCGAATGAAAAGATTCTACGCGCCAACTACTTAGGAACACAGAGTTATTTCCTGTCACTGTTTTTCAATTAGGAAAGGACAAGAAATGACAATGAGCATAAACACAGCATATTGAAGCAACCCAAACTGTGTGACCCAAGTCTACAGGTGCCGAAAGGTATTCTATGTTCAGAAGGGATTGTTGAGGCATTGCTGGAGTCTGCTCAGGGAGTGCCCAGCAGTTACTCATGACTAATCTATGGCTCCCTGCAGCTGAAACCATTGTTAAATGTCAGGCCAAGCCAGCACAGTGCTCATGATGCCAAGCACAATATCTACAGCAGCATCCCTCTTCTTTCCTGGAGAGCAAAACAGTGACAAACAGCATGGGAATGTCAACAAACTGGGGCAGCAGGTCTGCCAGGCACAGTGGAAACTGACAACCTGAGCTTCCCTTGGGGCCAGTTCAAGTTCCTGCTGGCCTCCATCCACCAAGTCCTTTGTAATTCTCAAGCATTGTTTAGATTTGGCAGGTATAATGGACCATTTCTTTCTCAGAAAGAAATTTTTCCCGAAAAGGGGGAAATAAAGGTCCTTGGTCTTTGTAGTTCTCTCACTGTAGAACTCATTCCTTTTCCACTGATGTTCTTCCAGATTTTCACCATAGACTTTGCGCCATAGGCACCCCAGTTTCTTAGGGTCCTCCAACCAGCCTGGAAAATGTACTGTATTAATACACTGAGGCGCTGGGAGATGAAGACAGCCCTGTGCCATTGGGGCCCCCATTTGATCCTGGAAGGACTGAGAACCAGTCTACATATCTGAATTATGCAGGTCTCCCGCTCCATGTTGTACTGTCACCTGGCTTTATTGCTAGCTTGTTTCTTCATCTGCTTGCTCCCTGTGTGCTGATAGGCCTTTCCAAGAGCATCACATCTTAGTCATATACCCTCTGGCTGGCCCATCTTCCCCCTTCCTCCTCACATATGCAGCAGCACCCGAGCTCATTGCCTCACAGACTGCTATGCACAAACAGGCCTTAAATTAAAATAATAGTAATGACAGTCACAAATATAAAATGTTTCTGCCACTAGGATCACATTTTCTTGAGACAAATCTAACTTTTTAAAGTAAAATATACTCATTTTAAACTCATTTTTTGCAGAGTTGCATTTTCCCATGGTCTGTTAAAATATATGTTTCCTGAACTTGGATGGCAAGCAATGATTATCAGGCCGGAAGAGCTCAGAAGTTTGATGGCTGCTCTTCACTCTCTGCGGGCAAATCCTTTCCTTGTAGGGAGAGACCTGGAAGGGAGTTCCTTCTCTCAATATGACCTCTGTGCCTGCTTACCTCACTTTGCCCATTTGGGGTTCCCAGAGTTGAGACCTTCAGGAAGTCTCCTCTCCTGGTGCTGCAGACTATCCCAGGAATACCCCATGCTGAACAAAGATCAAATCGAAGAAATCATGGCCTCTCTGTTTCACCCAAGACTCTTGAAGCTTGTCTATCCTTTGACTCTGTCAAGCTTAAGCTGCTAGAAATGTTGGTCCAGCACAACCAGAGGCACTCATGACTAGAATATACAACTATGTACTGGGGGCTTTGGGGAGAAGAAGAAGAAGAAAAAAAAAAAGAAGAGGATTGGCTCAGGTGCCAATTAAGAAAAAAAAAGGTTACCATTAAAAAGGAAAAGGAAAGAAAAGAAAATCTTGGCCTTGTTCTTTCACAGCTTCCAGAGAAAATAGGACTCTATTATAGAACCATCACTTAAGGTGTATGGGGCTAATGTAACATTGACAGGAGTGAGTGTGAGGGTGGGGGGAGAGATTACTCTCTGGCAAAATACAAACACCTCAGTCCTTTGGCTTTGAATTAACAAAACAGACATCCCATTTGGCCTACTACAGCTTCTGTTAAAGGTACACATATTTCTGTTCTCTCATTCTTCGTTTTTCTCATGCTCACAAATCCAAAAGTAACTATATATTGCACTAAAAAAAATCTAAATTTTTATAAGTATTTTAATAAATAGGAAAAAATAATTCTATTATCTATATAATCTTTAATTTTATAACTTCAGTTTTCCTTGCAAGGTCCTTCAGTTTTATCTGACTCTAACTTGTCTTATTTACTCAGCAGCAGAGACACAATCTTTATCAATTAATCAACATAGACCAGATTTTCCATCCTAAATAAGCCTGAGCATAAGCTCCATCACTCTGTTCCACACTCACCTGCCTTCAGTTAGCTCTTGTCCTTAGAAGCAGTCAGCCCACAACACTTTATATAGAGTCCTTGTCATGCTTCCTCTTTTTAAAAGTATTGGCTTCATCCTATTATGAAGAGATTTATGGCCAAGTTTTACAAATTATAATAATAATAATAATAATTACAAAGACTTTGAACTTACATAGGGTCTTTTATTCAAGAATGTCTTGGTATTTTGCAAAGAGTAACCCATTAGTTCCTTACCACAACTCAGAGGGCAGATCCTAATTGCAGGTTCACTTTGATACTTTTAGTTCCAATGCTCGTTTTTATTTGTACCAGTTTCTGGGAATAGGGCTAGGTAAGAAAGAAAGGAGTGAAGGAAGAGAGGAAGGAAGAAAGAAAGAGAGAAAGAGGGAGGGAGGGAGAAAGAAAGCAAACAAGCAAGCAAGTAAGAAAGAAAGAAAGAGAGAAAGGGAAAGGAAAGGAAGGATGGAAGGAAGAAGGGGGGAGGAGAGAAAAAGAGAGGGAAAGAAAGAAAAAAGCAAGAAACAATGCAGGAAGGACGGAAGGAATTGTACTGAGCCAGGTGCATTTGGCCCCTGCTCAGTATGCCAATCACCAAGACGAGTTTTGCAGCAGAGAAACGGTTTATTTATGAGGCAGCCAAGCAAGGAGATGGGAGAACAAGTCTCAAAGCTGCCTCACTGAAAATGGGGATCAGGGATATTTATGGGATAGAGGGGCAAGGTGGTCTGAAGTGTGGGAATAGATGATTGGAGGTAAGGAGAAGTGAGGTAATTGATGATTTGTGTAAGCATAGTCAAGCTTCATGGCTCTTCATACGACGCATATTCACAAAATGATGGCATTAGCACGACCTGAGGATGGAGTTTTGGGCCTCCTGACGTTAAAGGGTCACCTATCAGGCATTTGCGCAGGCCGGGTTGATGAGTTGGTGGTCTTAACCAGCCTGAGCTGGACCAGGAGTCAACTCTCAGTTCCTGAAAGCCTTAAGTACCCATTACCATGGTGACCCATCGTCACAGATGTTATCTATAGGGTGGGCTTTAGTAATGCATTGTCTAACTACTTTTGCAAAGAGACAATTAACCAAGTATAGTTTAAGCAGGTTGGCCCCCTTTTCAGGAAGGAAGGAAGAAAGAAAATAAGTTAAATTTGGAGTGTCAGAAACCCCTATTCCTGGTCTGTATTTCAGGCCAGCAGAGCCACACCTTAGACAGGCTGGATGATGCTCTTTTATATAAATCCACTACTTAACAATTTGTTCCTAAATGTCTACCTCAATAAATACTTCAAGAGGATTTATATGAAGTTTCCAGGAAGGACTCTTTGTCGCTGATTGCCCAGGGGTTGAGTTTCATAACTGAAAAATGGAGCCCTCTCTGTCTCCACACCCTATGCCCCAGCTCTGCTCAATGACTTGATTTTCCCCAGACACAGCCCCATCATTTGCTCTAGGCCTTTCTAGGGACAGGGACTGTGCTTCATTTGTCTTTATAACCCCAGCACCTGACACCCTGCCTGACACATATGAGATACTCAATAAAACTCGTGGAATAAATGGCTTGCTCACTGCCTAACTTGTTTATAATCTGTCTATTCTGCATCCCCTGCCTTCTCCCCACTGCCCTTCCCTGCTACAACTAGAATGTAAGTTCTGAGCAGTGAACTTGGCTGCTTCAGTTATGACTGCGTCCTCAGAGCCCAGATCCAAGTCTGGCACATTGTGGGTATTTGATAAATATGTGTTGAATCAGTCAAGTCATGAAGAATCTCTACCATCTCACCCAGCAACATTCAGATTGGGTCCCCAACACTGGGTCCTAGGGTAGGCTCACTTTCCTCATGTTCCGTGCTGCCATGTGGATATTTCTATCACAGCACTTGTGACACTTTATTTATTGCTGGTCTGAAAACAACTTGAGAGCAAGAACTGGGTCTTTTTTCTTGTACCCCCTAAAATGGCACATAAGAGGTATTCAATGATTGTTTATGGAATGAATAAATGAATGAAAGGATATTTATGACTTTTGGGAAGTCAACGACTCAGCCTC